GCAACAGTATCAACTGCAGTACCACCAGGTAATGTGTTTTCCATACTTATGCAGTTTTTCCATACTTATGCAGTGTTATGTGTATTGAAACCTAAACATTACTTTTTTCATATTTGTATGCAATTACATAACTGTTTAATATATGTGTTAGTTCATATTTTTTATTTATTTCTATAATAGCAACAATATCTGCAGGACCGTCAGGTAATCTGTTTTGCATGCTTATGCAGTTTTATGGGTGTTATGTGTATTTGTGTAGGTATATATGAAATTTAATTTATCCTTATTTTTACATTACTTTTTTTTTTATTTTTTTTTGTCATAACTTTTTTTTTTTAAAGTCTAAATAGTTTTAAATAATATTTTTATTGGTTGTTTTGTGCAGTATTGTATTCAAATTTATTTCTTTTTTTGTTTTTGTTTTTTAGCAGCGCATCAAGATTTCCTGCGATATTGCTCCCAGCACCCAGGTCCGATATCTCAAAGAGCTTTCTACCGGTGGTGTCAATATAGGGGAGATGATCCCTCCTTTAGATGGAGGAGACAAGCCCCATATGACACCACTGGTAGAAGCGGTGCTACTAATTAGTGGTGTTGCTAGCCAAGCGGTGTTACTAATTAGTGGTGTTACTTGGCACTTAATGCCAAGCGGTGTTACTAAATTGTGGTGTTACTTGGCAGCGTTTAGTGCCAAGCGGTGTTACAAGTGTTGAGCTAGGTTGTGTTGTCTAGCTTTTTTAATTATTCTGGAAACACATAATCTGAATATTTTGTGTTATGTGCAAATGTGTTATGTAAAAATAATTTATGCTATGTGTATTCAGTAGCATAGGCAGGGTCTTTTGATGCTTTATATAGCACTTTCAACCAAACTTAAGTGTATTCACGTTTATAGAATTAAAATACTTTGCAAAAAATTGATGCTGTTAAAGCTTAGGAACAAATGTTTAAAAAAAGTGTTTTTCCTAACCTGAATTTTTTTAGACATAACAAAGTTAAACTCTTCAACAGCTTCTAAATATATATCTGAAACAACACAAATCCCACCTACACTACTGGTGTTATTGTTTGTCATCCTGTAATGTTGTTGTGATGTTTTGTGTTGATAGACAGCTTGGCTTACCTTCACGTTGGTGTCTATCGTTAAAAATGATTATTGGGTAGCTTCATTACTGAAACTTACTCCTAATCATTCACTAAAAGCCAAGAAATATTTTAAGAAAAAATGCCGAATTTTTTTGTGTCAATAAAAATTTTTATCTTGAGCAATGCTGATAAAGCTGATTTTTTTAAAAAAAAGATTATTTCCAGCCTTCTAACCAAATATTAGAGACTTTTCCAAAAGCACTCTCACAAAGTAAGTGTTTAATATTTCTTTAATATTACTAAATTTCGTTTCGTATTTTTTATTTTTCAAATGAATTAACATAAAACAAATAAATGTGCATTCAGTGTTATCAATAATGATTTTATTTCGTTTTTAGATAATGCTTTTATAATCAATTTAAAAGTCTTTCAAATCGTTAATCATTTTCTAAAGGCGAAGAAGAAGAATCATCAATCTTCATACCATTTAATAAAGCTATTTTAATAAAACGCAATACAAATTGTTGTAAATTAGTATTTCAATAATTTTCACGTTGTTACCTTATTTTGCAGTTTCCTATCACTTTGTATTGAATTAACTAAATCCAATATTACAGTTCCTTTTATCAAGTACTTCACATTTTCTGTTTTTGTTTTATGCAGAAAAACAGATCAAGTTAATTTATTTAACTTGCCTAGCTACTTATTTTACACGCCTAGCCACAGTGAGTGTGCATAAATCAACAGAGGATTTGGGTTTGGGCAGGTTGTCTTGAACTAAATGGTTTACCTTCTTCATGTTAAGCTCTAAATATAAATATACGGAAAAGGTGCATATGTGATTTTTTTTTTTTTTTTTCTAGCACATAATCTATTGATCACTAAAAAATATTAGAGGGAGAAATAGAGATAAGGTTAATGTGGAATAGAGTTTGTCCTTTTAGGTGAAAAACTATTTTATAATCTATCTATCTTCTATATAATAATGCCGAACTTAAAAGTGTTAGTAGAAAGAGTCGCAACACTTTTTTTATAAGAAAACGTGTATACAAATATCTAACGTACGTAATTAAGTAATGATGAAACATACTGAATCATTTTTCAAGTTTTATAGTTTGACTTTGACTTAAAAATTGCATTGCGTCAACCTCTTCTTAATTTTTGATCTACAGCAATTCCGTTTAAAACAATTTTTATATATTTTTAAAATTTCGATATTTGATGTGTCAGCATGGCCGAGTGGTTAGCGAGCTAAGCTTCTGAACGTAATAGTCGTGGTTCAAATTTACCACCAGCGATTTTTTTCTTAGAATCTTTAAATTACAAAATATTTGTAAAGTTAAACAAGTTAAATGTTATACACTTAAACCGTTTTTTCTTTTTAAATTTTATAAATTTTTTGGATTTCTAAAAACACCAATAAACGGGGCGAAAATTTGTTGCGTGCGTGTCATGATTTTGATACTGTTCTCACATAATTGGTCCTAATAAGCTACGGATAGTCTTAAAAAAAAAGTCCTAAAACCTAATAAGGAAAAAAATTTGATAAAACCGTCCCGCTACTCCACATGGTATTGCAGTGGAGGCAGAGGAAAAAAAGCAATTAAAAGGTTTTTCGCTATATTTAATTTTTTGCTATAAATATAGCCAGATTAAAAAAATTAAAAAAAATGTATGGAGATTTTTTAGGCGTGGATTTGAAGCATTGCACAGCGACTCTGATGACTGCGCACTTAACTTGTGAGCTATCAAAGTTATGCATGTAGTTAGGTGCTTCAACATTTTTTTAAAAATGTAAAATGAAAACAAAATAAATACCATAAGTAAGAGCTAAATAATAACGTTTAAAAATTACCAAACCTTTTATTATATTATTATTAGTTTTTCAACTTTTAAACCACAAAATTTATAATTTATTTTTTTGCATGACTTTTGACGCTTTAAGTGACTAACGTTTTAAAGAATTGCATTACCGTTTCCGTCTAATACAAAGGTAACTATAAAAGACCGTTATTATTCAAAACTAAGCATATAATAACAATAAATATAGTAAATAGTAACTATTGAAAATGGCTAGGACGCGACCATAAACCATGGTCCATGGCTGCAGTAGTGTAGCGACAAAAAATTGGCCCCCCACCCCCGCAAAAATTTAATCCGGGCCCCTAAATTACTTCTTTTCTATTCCTTTCCCCCACCCCCCACCACCTTGCCTTTACCTTCCTTCTAGACAAATAAGTTATACATGAAAATAAAAAAACGGTAATCTAAAACAGAAACTAATGATATACGCATGTTATTTATTGTACTGACACTTTTTTTTAAATTTTTTCTTTGTTGCCTTGAGCCCCTAATAACTCTGGGCCTCCCCGCGGCTGCGGGCCCTGCGGCCCCTTTGCTACGCTACTGCATGGCTGGTCTAAAAGTAGGAAGTAGTTTAGTTCAGAATTTTAAAAAAAAAAAAAAAAATAAACGGGGTTTAATAAGCTATATACGTATGCGGAAAAAGTGCGTATGTTAAAGTTTTTTTTTGCTCTCAAAGCAAATTTTTTTAATGAATTTTTTTCCACCGTTTACTAAAAAATATTGAAGTAAATAAGGAACAAGTAAAGAAATGATTAGCGTGGAATAGATAAATATAGAAGTAGAAGAAAAGACCTGTATTTACCGATACGGACAGCTAGATTAAGAAAATAAGGGAAAAAGTTTGTGTAGAATAGACTTACAAAGACCCGTATTTTTACGGGTCAATTCAGCTAGTAAAGAATTATATATATTTGTTTTGAAAATTTTTTTTTTAATTTTTCGAGTATGATTTTTTTAGTTATTAAGTTTTTTTATTTTATTGTTAACTTAAAAAAAAAAAAGAAATAATTAGTGTTGCTTTGATAAATATGTTTAATGAAAATGATGACATTGAAATGGATGATAGTAGATGTAGTTTTGTATTTACAATATGATGTAAGTGCTATAAGGCGTGTTGAAAATAATCGTAGACGAAATGAAAGAAATAGACTTAGGCAAGATGAAATTAATTGTTTACAAAATGAAAGAAATAGGCTCGATCGAGATAATGTTAATCGTCGCCAAAATGAAAGAAATAGGCTCGATCGAGATAATGTTAATCGTCGCCAAAATGAAAGAAGAGCTGTTGGACAAGGACGAATGTATTCTATAGCGAGAAGTAATACTATTCCAGATTATGATTATTTAGGAGAAATGAATCAAATTTGTCAGCACTGTGGTGCTAAGAAATTTCCAGATGAAACACATTTTCTATGTTTCCATAATGGTAAGGTAGCTTTGCCTCCACTTTCACCAATTACACAAGCTTTACAGGATTTGTTTACAGGAAGTTATGTAGATTGTAATGCTAATGCTAATTTTTAAAACATATTCGAAATTATAATGCCTGCCTTTCTTTTGCTTCTTTTACAGCAAATGTAGTTCAACCAATGAATCATGGGCTTCCATGTTTTAATATATGTAGCCAGATTTTTCATCATGTAGGTAATCTTAGGCCAGATCAAGATATTCCACCAATATATTCTCAACTATATATTTAGGATCCACTTGCTGCACTAAATTTTAGAATGCATCACTATGCTAATGATCTTTGTTTACGTGATTTAATGTTTCAATTGCAAACTATAATTATGGAACAAAGTCCATTTGCTCTTGCATTTAAAAACATGGCTGAAGTAGAAGATGAAGAAATTCGTAAGGCGGCTATAGAAGGTCGCTCAGCTTCTGTTGTAAAAATGTCTTTACTTGAAGGCGGTGATAGACTTCGTTATAAAATACCTTCACATGATGAAGTTGCAGTTGTATTTGTTGGCGAAGATGGTGCTCCCCCAACTTCCAGGGAAGTTGTTATTTACCCAAGAGGTCATCCTTTAAAAATTGTATCAAGTATGTCAGTTAACTTGGATCCTATGGTTTATCCGCTATTTTTTCCAAGAGGTGATGCTGGTTGGCATAATCAGTTGGTGCATAACCCTGAGCGTGCCACACTGGTTAGAAATCATGTTACATTATCTCAGTTCTACAATTATAGACTTTCTGTTAGGCAATTTTTCTGTTCATTATTTTATGGCAAGAAACTATTTCAGCAATATGCTGTAGATGCATATGTAAAAATTGAAGGCCAGCGTCTTGCTTTTATCAGAAATAATCAAAATAAGCTGAGAAGCGAGCAGTACGATGCCTTACATGAACATATTAACAACATTGCCAATGATCGTAATATTAGACCAGGACGAGAAGTAGTTTTGCCATCATCTTATGTAGGAAGTCCTAGAGCTTTAAAAGAAAACTTTAAAGATGCTATGGCAATTATTAAAAAGTATGGTAAACCAGATCTTTTTATAACTTTTACTTGCAACCCAAAATGGCGTGAAATAACAGAAAATTTATATCCGGGTCAGAATGCGAATGATAAACCTGATTTGGTTACTCGATTATTTAAACTCAAGTTAAATAACCTCCTCAATGATATATTCAAAAATGGTGTAACGCATGTTCATGTAATTGAGTTTCAAAATCGTGGTTTGCCGCATGCCCACATTTTACTTCATTTAGCAAATGATGATAAACTTGAAACATCACAGAATATCGATAATTTGATTTGTGCGGAAATTCCAGATCCGATAGTTAATTGTGAACTTTATGATATTATCAAAACTTGCATGATTCACGGCCCATGTGGGATACTGAATCCAAATTCTCCCTGCATGAAAGATGGGGTGTGCAGCATAAAATATCCTAAAGATTTTAATGCCAACACAGTAGCTGTTCACAATGGTAATCCGCGCTATAGGCGTCGTGATAATGGGTTGGTTATTAATATTAAAGGCAACAATGTAGATAACCGTTGGGTGGTACCTTATAATCCTTGGTTATCAAAGAAATATCAAGCCCACATTAATGTTGAAGCTTGCATGTCTGTAAAGGCTGTTAAATATTTGTATAAATACATATACAAAGGGCATGATTGTGCAAATGTTTTGATAAATGAACAGGTTAATCACGATGAAATAAACACTTTCTTAGATTGTCGTTATTTTAGTGCACCTGAGGCACTCTGGCGAATATTTGAGTATCCCATAAGTCATATGTCACACTCTATTATCCGTCTTAATGTTCATCTTCCTGAGAACCAGATTGTGTATTTTAGAGAAGGAGAAGAACAAGTGGCTTTAGATCGTGCTGCTCAACGTGATGCACACCTTACGGCCTGGTTTAAATTGAATTCTGAAAATGAAGGAGCCAATCGCTATTCATATGTTGACATTCCATATCACTTTGTTTTGATGATAAACATTGTAAATGGAAGGTTAGACAAAGAGGTGGAAATAAGGTGATAGTAAGAATATATAAAGTTAGTCCAACAGGAGAATTATTTTTTCTTAGATTGTTACTTTTACAAGCAAAAGGAGCAAAATCTTGGGAGGATTTGCGTACTGTTAATGGAATAGTTCTTGAAACCTTTCGTGAAGCGTGTGTTTTTAATGGTTTGTTGCAAGATGACACTGAATGGCAGAATACTGCCATTCAGTGTCATCTTGCAACAAACCATATATTGAAAAATATAGTTTTAACGCGAATGCCTAAGCAAATCAGGCAGCTGTTTTCAATTATTTTAATCTTTTGTGAACCTGATGACCCTTTGCATCTTTGGAATTCATACAAAGCCTTTATGATAAAGGATTTCATTCATCGCCAAGTTCCATTTATATTAGCTGAACAAGCTACTCTTCTTCAAATCGAAAAGATTATTAATCAAAGTGATAAAACGCTATCTGATTATAATTTGCCTGTTGTTGATGAGCTCATAGATTTTAATCTAGAAAATTTAAATGATAATGTTCAGCAATCAATTGACGAAGCTAATCGAATAAGACCGCATCTTAATGTCAATCAATTAAATGTAAGTAATGCTGTCCTTACTGCATTGAACTAGCAACCATGTGTAGAAAGTCAACATTCCAGATTGTTTTTTATGGATGGACCAGCCGGTAGTGGCAAAACTTTTACATATAATTATTTAATTGCTAAAATGAGCAGTAGGGGTGTTAAATCTGCTACAGCTGCATGGACTGGCATAGCAGCAATTCTTCTTACAAATGGATCTACGCTGCACGGGTTATTTAAACTTCCTGTCCCAATACTGGATAACAGCACATGTAATGTGACTCCTAACTCTATTCAGGGACAATTTTTAAGGCAAGTTAGTTTGTTTATGCTTGACGAGACATCCATGATTCCCAAACACGCTTTAAATGCAATCGATCGGTTGTTAAAAGATGTTTGCAACAACAACTTTCCATTTGGAGGAAAAGTCATTCTTTTTCGTGGTGACTTTAGGCAAATTTTGCCTGTTGTGAAAAGAGGGAGACCAGCTGAAGTTGTAGAATCATGTATAAAATGTTCTTTACAGTGGCAATGGGTGCAGAAGTTTACATTAACTGAAAATATGAGAGTACGTGATGGAGAAGGAGATTTTTCCGAATGGCTGTTAAAACTTGGTAGTGGAACAATACCTGGCAAGAAGGAAGATCCTTTTAAGGGATGTATTGAAATACCGCAACAGTGCTTTATTAAAGAAAACGAATCAATTGTTGAAAAAATATTTGGAGATGCTCAACAAGATGATTATGCTAAACGTGTCATTTTAACACCCATTAATGTGGATTCATTGTCAATCAATGAAGATGTGCTTGAACGTCTACATGGAGAGGTCAAAACTTATTTAAGTGCTGATCAAATAGACACTGACGATCTTAATGAAAGAAATAATTTCCCTGTTGAGTTTTTGAACAGCTTAACTCCTTCAGGTATGCCTACTCATTGTTTAAAATTGAAAATCGGTTATGTAATTATGCTACTTAGAAATTTAGATCTTAAAGCTGGGCTATGTAATGGAACCCGAATGAAAGTTTGTGCTCTCCAAAACAATTACATTGATGCAGAGGTTTTGACATGTGTTTCTGAAGGTAAACGGGTATTTGTTCCTCGAACTCAGTTGGCTCCATCAGATTCTAATTTACCTTTTGTTTTAAAACGTCGTCAGTTTACTGTCAGATTAGCTTATTCGATGACAATCAATAAAAGTCAAGGTCAAACATTTGATAGAGTTGGGGTATATCTAAAAAAACCGTGTTTCTCCCATGGTCAACTATACGTTGCATGTTCAAGAACTACAGCATTTAATAGTTTGTTTTTCAAAATTGATAAACATCCTATTCAAGATATGGTAGGTGAAAAATACTACACAATTAATGTTATATTTTCTAATGTTCTTAATTTATAGTCTTAATATTTTTATTTCTAAAATTTACTGTTTGTAGGTTGTGAGCACATTTTGTATGTGTAACTTTAATATTTTTATTTTTTTCATAGTTTTTGATAAATGTATTTGTCATTTAATATTGTTATATATTGTGTTTATATGTGTTATATGAAGTCATATTTGTTTATAGTTGTATATATGTTTACATTATGTTGTTTCCATGTTTTCAAAGTGGTGTGACTTAGCAAAATGTTAAGCAAGAATGTTAACCTTGCCAGCCAAGCGGTGTACTTATAGCAGAGGTGTGACTTGGCACCATTTTGTGCCAGGCGGTGTTACTGCTTTAGAGCTAGGTTGTGTTGTCTAGCTTTTTTTAATTATTCTGGAAACACATAATGTCTGGTAATGTTTTGTGTAATGTGTATAAAAAGAGTATGCAACCTTGATCCTTAAATTTAAAAACAATTGAATAACTAATATTGAATATAAAAGCAAATATACTATATTAAAGTTTAGTAAAAGGATAAATATAGATAACTCAAAATTGGTTTTTTAGTGTTGCTTTTCATATTCTTTTAAAATTGATTTGTTATTTTCCACTGGATTTTAGAGTCAATTTCAGGTTTTTAAAATCATATATATTATAATATTAAATTCTTTTTTACTATAAAAATATCCATATTATAGTTACACTGAGTCGTAAAAAAAAAATTAAAGTTTATTAATAAGGTAGTAGATTATTAGAGTAGATTAAATTGTTTGATCTATTAATCAACTTAATAACGTACTATTAAAGTAAAGATTTATTTTGGTTGTTTGTTAAAATTTAGTTATAGTTTATTTAAAATTTAAATTCTTTAGTTAATCAAGAGAGATCTAATAAAGGTATTAATTACATTAGTTGAATGTAGCATTTAATATGCATTTTGTCGATATTTTAACGTCTAAACATTAAAGTGCTTTTATTGTTTAGATACAGAAGTGAAGAAGGAAATAAGTCAGTGTTTTTGCTATTAGATATTTGTTAATAGGAATTTGTTTATTTGTACTGCCACTGGAATTTAAAAAAAATCAAGTTCTTTAGCTTTTTTTTTATACTTTCTTTTAGGGGAGTTGGAACAAAAACTAAGTATAAATTATGATTAGTTTAGTTTAGTAAATAAAGCATTAATATTTAGAAGATTTAAAGTTTACTTTAGTTTATAGTTTTGGTTTAGTTTATAGTTTTGTTTTGAGCTTTAGTTATTTTTTTCTTACTTTAGACAACTTTATGGATGAAATGAGGGGGATGGGTAAAACAATTATTTAGATATGTATATATTTATATGTTAACATTATTTTATCGATTATTATATATTTATTTAAGTATATATTTGTCTTTAGTGTCAGGTGGAAGTATAGCCGGTAGGACTGTGTTTTATATTTTATATATTTTGTATGGAGAAATATATGCAATAGGTGAAAAAATTAATTAATAAATATGACACTTTTGAACTGGTTGCATTATTTCTCTATATATTTATTAAAATACAAAATATTGCATGTTTAACCCTTATTAATTTGCTGTTTTTTTTGTTTGTTTTATTCAGCATCTTCTGTTTCGAATGAAAATGATGAGGTTAAGCTAATTTTTTTTTTTTAAATAATTGCAAATGTATAATTTTTATTATACTCTTCTATTTGTAACTTTAGATTCCTTATCATTCGAATAATACCAAAATTATCGCTCCCAACACCCGGGACCTCTCTCAGAGAGGTCCTTCAATAAATAGAAACGTAATGGCGGTATGGATGAGCCCTCCTTTAAATGGAGGGCTCATCCATACCAGGGTGTTGGGAGACACCAAAGAAAAAACAACAACCAAAAGGTTGTAAATGTCTTCTATCAGTAGAAATATTTATGACTTTTTAGTTGCTGCTTTTTCTTCTGTTTTTGTTTTTTTTTTAATTTTGTAATTTTTTGTTTCGGTGTTTTTTTTTTATTATAATTTTGTAATTTTTTTTTAAATATATTACGTTGTATATTTGATTTGTTTTAATCTTTTTTAATAAAATTTTTAATTGTTTTCTCACCAATTAAACCTGACTTCAAATTTAAAGCCCTCTTAAAAACCCCTCCCTAAATTCTAAAGTCGAAAGTTGAATTGATTCATTATCCAATTATCATAATATAATGATGCTGCATTCTTTTGATAAAAACAATTATTTGGTACTGCTTTTAAAATTTACCAAAACCCAAGGCAATATATTTAGCTATATAAATACAATTTATTTATCTCGATTCTATTCTTTATCTTTTATGTTTATAGTTTGGCTCCTTAAAGCATTTTATGCTTTGCTCTTTTTATTATGAATATTTTAAATCCGTCGTGATGTCTTTTAAATTAAACTAAAGTTTATTAAAAGCCAACATAAAAATTACGATTTTGAACAACACCAAAAAGAACAGCTGCATCCCTACAGCAACTGCTGCAGTATCACAATAGGTTACCAAAAGCAGGTATACTGTTTTCCAGTTGTTTTTTTTTTCATATATATCTACTTATTTATATAATACTATAGTACGATTGTTTATATCTCATTCATTTTTTTTTTCTTTATCTTTAAGTGTTAATAATTTTATTCTTTGAATGATTTTAGTGAAACAAGTCGGCTTTTTAAATATGTTTAATTGTCGTCCCTATCGGTAATAAATATTTTAAATTATTTGATATGGTTTTCTTTACAATAGGCTATGCTTGGCTCCTCGGTGCTGTAAATGGTGGCTTCAACTTTGTTTTTTTTTAAGAAAAATGTGTTTTATATATGCTTCTGTTTTAAAATATTTTTGTTACATATTAAACTATATATAATGTAAATAAATTTCTTTTAAAGATAAGTAAACTTGATACTTGCTTTTTTACGGATTTTCAAAAAGTGAACAAAGGTTTAAATATATTTTTTAACTGTCTTTTATAATTTTATCAATTTTATTAAAGCTGAATAATTACTTCAAAAATATTGAGTAAAATCCAATTGCTTTTATTATTAACCTGATCTAAACACAAATAAATAATGAAATAAAACTAATAATCTAACGCCAAGTAAAGGCAAAATGTATTTTATAAAATTAGTATAAATATGGATTGGATGTATGCTGAAATAAATATGTTGACACACGTTAGCTATTATAGTAAATCCATTTATTCCTTTGTTTTTTTATAAACAAGTTTCTGCTGGATTACTAATTAAAAAAAAGGTTGGTTTAAATAATAATCTTAATCATAATATAAAGGATCCGTATGCAGGGTAAGCCCTTTTCGGAATTGCGATAAATTTTTCAACTTATAGTTTTTCCGGATATCCAACTTCTATGCCTACAAGTTTGGGTGTAATATTTTAGAGGTTTTAAAAATATTTAAAAAATATATTAATAACATTTAAAAGGTTAAGGTGCGATAGTGACATATTTTGAAGCTCTTCACTCAGTAAAATGAAAAGTTTAAAAAATAAAGAAACGACTCAGCTTAAAGCAAAATTAAGAGTAGAATATATTCCCAATATTTACCTAAACAATTTTACGGAATTTGAAAATTTGACATCGATTTTCTGTGCATATAATTTAAGTCATTTTATGGTTAACTTTATCTTTAATGAAGCTAAGAGTTCTCTTAAACTAAGAAGCCAAGAAAAATAAAAGTGAGCTCAACTAAAAAAAAGTATAAATAAATTTATATTTCATTAGAGAAAATAAATAAAGATCAAATTGTTAGTAATGATTTATTTACTACTAACCCGTATTACGGGTTGCTTACTGTATAAATAAATTTATAGTTTATTAGAGAAAGTAAATAAATATCAAATTGTTAGTAATGATTTATATACTACTAACCCGTATTACGGGTTGCTAACAGCTAGTTATTATTATTATTATTATTATTATTATTGTTATTATTATTATTGCTATTATTGCTATTATTATTATTATTACTGTTGTTATTATATTATTATTATTATTGTTATATAACAACATATTAATATTATATCAATATTATTGGATTATAATATAAGATTAGTATCAAAAAATTTATATTAATTTTAAATATGTTAAATCATAATATTTAAAAAATAATATTTGTGAATATTATTGTTTTCATTGTCAAAGTTATTGTTGATCAAGTTTTTTAGAAGAAAATGTAATATTCAAGACTTAATGTTTATATTATTTTAAAATAATATATTTAAAAAATATTATAAATAATTTCAAAATAAAGCAATTTGGTTTTTAAAAATTGTATACCTATTAAGTCAGAAATTGCTGCGCTTGTCTTTTTTCTTGTTTTTATACCACTCATTGTAAATTTTATTTTTTACTTCAACTATATAGTATTCGTGGGTTAAAGTTAATAAAAATATAAAAGCGAATTACAAAAAATATAATGCAAAAAATATTGAACATCAAGAACTTTTTTGTTTCAAAAATTTCCTATTAAAAACTGTTGTGAAATGTAAAAAATTTAATTTTATCAATAAGTTTACACGGTTTTTTATTGCTTCATCTTAAAAATGTATTTACGCTTCGAGACGATTTTAAGGTCAATAAATATAGTAAAAATATAGCAATAAATCAATTTATATATATAATAAAATATAGCAATAAATCAATTTTTGCAAATGAAGACCTAATAATAGCAGCTCTATTTTAACAGATTCTAAATTTATATACTTTCTAGCTAAAATATACCAAGGGCCAAGTGTTTATTATAAAAAAAGTTGTTTTTTGAAAAGTACGGGATGCCCTAAAAAATATATATATATATATATATATATATATATATATATATATATATATATATATATATATATATATATATATATATATATATATATATATATATATATATATATATATAACCAATCAATCAATCAATCAAATTATTTTCATTTTAATAATACTATATATATATACAATTGTGCGAGACATTTACAAACAGTTATAAACTGATGACGTGTAAAGACCTATAATGGTATAAATAATAACATAATAATAATAATAATAATAATACTAATAATAATAGCAATAATAATAATATTAATAATAATATTAATGCAGTAATATAAAACACTATAATCTTCTATATAATATTGCCGAACTTAATAGTTTTAATAGTAGTAGTAGTGTCCCTTGGAGCGTATTTGACACGAAACCCTTGGCAGCCATTGTAACCGAGGTATTGGCAAGAAAGAGTCACAGCATTATAAGAAAACGTGAACGAATATCTAACGTACGTAAACTTTAAACTAAGAAATGTTAAAGCATATGTTAAAACAAACTGAAACATTTATCACGTTTTACAGTTTGATTTTTACTTAAAAATTACATTGCGTCAACCTCTCCTTAATTTTGATCTAACATTTTTTTCCTCAAAAAAATTACTAGATTATTATAAAATCTACACTTGATGATACGCCGGTGTAGCTCGAGTGGATAAGGCGGCGAAGTTCTGAACAAGGAACTAGAGGTTCGACTCCTACCAAAGGCGGCTATTTTTTTTAATTTTTTAATTATTTTAAAATACAAAATACTTTCGAAGTTTTATAAAGATTATATACAAACATATGTAACGTAACGATATTATGCACTCACAAAAGAAAAGATTTTAAGAATGCTAAAACTTCATAAAACATAAAAAAAAAAAAAAAAAAACATCACCAGGAGAAAAAAATATGTTGCGTATCTATGATAATTGAGACACTTATGTTATTAATGTGCGAATGTAATTAGTCCTAATAAGCTGCGGATGGTCTGAAAAAAAAGTTGTCTGAAACTTAATAAAGAAAAAACATAACAAGACAGCCCTGCTACTTCATAAGATGCTGCTGTGGAGGCAAAAAAAAAAAGCCTGTAGCTAGATAAAACTTTAAAACTTTCTTTTGACAATTAAATGTTTATTTTGCTACATTAACTTTTTTACTATAAATATATGCAGCAACTGTTTTTCAAAACGCCTTAATATGCTTATGACGTAATTCAAAAAAAACCCAATTAAAAATAAAATTGTTTGGAAAAACTCTTCGTAAAACGTTTTTTGAAACGAATAACTTTTATTTAGTTTTTTTTTTCTTTTGTGCAACTTTCTTTTCAATAAATTTCTTTACCTTTCAGAATATGACCATTTTAAACAATGCTATAAAAAAAATATCAGTAAATTGATTAGTAGTATTTCAATTATATTAATTAGATTAAATTATATATATTAAATTATATATTATATATATTAAATTAAATAGATAAATAAATTGATATTCCTTAATTTTTTTATACTTAGTGACAAAATAGACTAAATAGATAAGTCGTTAAGTAGAATGCTAAGAATATGTTTATGGCGGTTATTGTTGTTAAGGGTGATTAATAGGCAAATAAATTAAAAGCTAATCAGGGCTTTGAATAAATTATAAACTAATCAGGGAAGTTTTATTGGTAAACCTAATAAATAGGAAGATAACATATAATTCAGGTAGACATTGTTTTCACTTTTTCGCCAAACTTTGATATCTTTGATATTAAAAATACGACCTTTCCAATAATTATAGATGGTAGTTTATCAACCTTTTTTTTCGGATCCACAATCCGTTATGATTTGTATTTTATCTATGTGAACGAAAGTCTATTCAAATATCTAAATATGTAAACTTTAAGTTCTTTTATTATCAATCAGTATAATTATAAAGTAGATGACATCAAATTCTACCGATTTATTTTTACTTAATAATTTCATTGCGACAATATCTCTTTATTTTAAAGCACTAAATGTTGTTTTTTATAGTTTAATAAGTTTTCTGTTTATTAAATAGTGTAAAAAGATGATATAGCATTCCACAGCGATTGAAGTGCTTTGCTTCGGTTCAAAACCTTTTACTTACACAATTTTTTTTTTAAATCCTATCCAGTTTTCTAGAAAACAAAGAAAAACAAGTTTAAATGCATATAGATGTTATACGCATTACATAAAAATAAAGAAATAATATACTATAAGAAACCAAACGGAGAGAATTTTTTAAAAAGTTTTTAAAAATTTTTAAAAACATAAAAACGCCTTTGGAAATTTGTTGCGCATATATCATGATAGAGATACTTATGTTTTAGGTAACTAGTTAAAACTGCGAGTTCAACACACATTAAAGAGATAAATTTCTTTCTTATATATATAAAAAAAAGGTTTTACATGCATTCTGAAATTTTTATTAAAACTAACTGGTCAAGAGTCCTAAAAAGTACAGAAAGGTATGAAAAAAAAAATTGTAATCTGAAACCTAAAAAAAAAAATTTAGTTACTCCAGAAGGTGACAAACAGAAAACCCACAAAATTTCGCCTAATCCGCTAATAGAAATACTCGAATATTAAGATATAAACAAATAATAAATGATTTTTGTATTACGAAACGTACGCCAACTCTTAAACCACTGTAAAACTACCTTGCGGTTATCTAATTAAATCCACCAAATCCGTTAATAAAAACAGCTTAATTAATAGATTCAAAACCATCTGATTTTTGTATTATGATATGTGCGCCAACTGTACTCTAAAACCAATACAACTCGGCCATGTGGTCTTCATATCGATTATAACAATTGCAAAGCAAGGGACGACAAGTAAGTTGTATCTACAAGTTTAATTATTGTAATCTTCATTTAAAAAATTAAACTTATTTTATAATTACCATGTTAATATGTTTGAAGTTAATATGTTTTTGACCCAAGAATAAACATTAAGATTATTTTTTAGAAATGAGCAGCCAAGATACAGAAGGTATTCTTTTAATTTTGTATAACATTAATTAATTAAAGAGATAAAAAGAGATAATACGTCAATAATACTGAGATATTTAGCTTATTATTTTACTAAGAAATTACATAAGGATAATTTTGTATATCTTTAGGCGACGAAGATGTTTCTGCATTTTTTCGAAGTAAGCCATATATATATACTATATATAGAAGCAGTTACATATGTTCTAAAAGTGGCGGAGCTGTACTTGATTTACGGTGTGAATAAAACGATGATTTAATTTAGCCGTTTTTAATTAAAATCAACCAAGATATGCCGCCCTACCCTAACCTCGTGAATCAATTACACCCCCGCAAAAATTTAACTAAAATTTAAAAATATATAAATTAATTTTTAGAACTTTAAAAGGGTGGACCCAAAACTCAGTTTTTGTTTATTCCGCTATTTTGATTGATGTTTTTGTAAAGCAGTGAACCTTAAAAACGCGTATAAGCTTTATTTAAGATGTTTAAGCTATAATTTTATAAAACGTGTTTAAGCTAAAATTGACTTTTAAGTCTTCTAACTACTAAACTTTTACGTAAAATGAAACTTTTTGTCATTTACTGAATGTGTTAAATTATAAAACTGTGCAACAGTTTTATAATTTAAGACAAATCTTATATGTTTAATTGAAAAAGTAAATATTTTGAAAATTAATTTTGTCTATATATATATTAGATGTTCAAGAGATCAGAGCTGAAGAGCTCTTGCCAAGTAAGCTAATTTTGTATGAGAAGGATATGTTACAAAGATATATATTTCAATTTGTCAATTATAACTTTTTTTTAATGTTTAGCGGAAGTAATGGACAAGCTAAGGAATTTTGTTGTTGTTTTTTGTTTTTTTTGTGTGCAAATACATTTATGGTTTTTTAGTTTTTTTAAAGTTATTTAGCAACTGACTTTTGTCAGTTGTGACAGTTTGTCAGTCAGCAAGTGACTTTTGTAACTTTTAAATTTATTTTATTTAGAAAAATTAGAAGATTATGTTGAGAATCTAAGTAAGCAATTTGTTATTGTTGTTGTAATGCTCTTTATTTTTTTTATTACATATTTATTTAACATAAAGTTATTCTATATTTGGCAAGTTAGTTTATTTTAGTGTTTATAAGTTTTTCATTTTATTTAGAAAAGTTAGAACATTCAATGGGTTAACAGAATTTGATTATATTACATTTGTGTATTATAGATAAAGATATAGCATTTTACTTCAAAAAAAAAGGTGTATTCTATGGTCTTTTAGCTTTTTTGATACAATTTTTAGCATTTTTTTTTATAGGGCTTATATTTCAACAACTTAGTAAGTTACTATATTGTTCTTGTGGATTGTTTTTATTATTTTTATTTTTTATTTTTTTTGTCGCTTTTTTCTTTTTTGGTTTGTTTTGTTTTGTGATTATTATTTTTGCCTTTTGTTTTGTTCAAACTTTATTTATAGATTTCCTAAAGTTGACAAATATTCTGCATGTTAGTTTCTTTCCTAATGTTAATGAGTTTTTTTTTATTCTATTTAGAAAATTTAGAAAATTCAATTGGTAAGCAAAGTACACTTATGTTTCTTTTTGTTTAATTTTAACACACATTTTTTGATGTTTGTGTGCGGTTTTATCACTCTAAAATAAACTGTTTATTTGATTAGTATATGTTAGTTTATATTCACTATAGCGTCATCTGCAGTACCATCAGGTAATGTGTTTTGCATTCTTATGCAGTTTTAAGAGTGTTATGTGTGTTAAAACTTAAAGATAGCATATCTTAATTTACAGATTACTTTATTTATTTATTTTTTTGTCTCTACATTAGCACCTCAAGCAATAATATCAGGTAATCTGTTTAGCATACTTATGCAGTTTTATGGGTTTTATGTGTAATTAAACTTAATCATTATTGCTTTCATGCAATTACATAAATGTTTAACATATGTTACTTTATACACTTTTTTTTTTTACCTTTACAATAGCACCAATGTCATCATATGTAGTACCATCAGGTAATGTGTTTTGCATACTTATGCAGTTTTATGAGTATTATGTGTATTGGAACTTAAACATTACTTTTTTCATGTTTGTAAACAATTACATAAATGTATAACATATGTTACTTTATAAACTTTTTTTTTTTTTTACTTTCACAATAGCATCAATATTATCTGCAGTACCATCAGGTAATGTGTTTTGCATGCTTATGCAGTTTTATGGGTTTTATGTGCATTGAACTTAAACATTACTTTTTTCATGTTTGTAAACAATTTCATAAATGTATAACATATGTTAATTTATACACTTTTTTTTTTTTTTTACTTTTCACAATAGCATCAATATCATCTGCAGTACCATCAGGTAATGTGTTTTGCATACTTATGCAGTTTTATGGGGTTTATGTTTATTGAAACTTAAACATTGCTTTTTTCATATTTGTTATCATTTACATAAATTTTCAAAATATGTTACTCTATACACTTTTTTTTTTTTACTTTCATAGTAGCATCAATATCATCTGCAGTACCATCAGGTAATGATGTAGTTTAATGTAAAACTTAAAGATTGCATTTCTTATTTTGCACATCACTTTATTTATTTATTTTTTTGTCTATACATTAACACCTCAAGCAATAATATCAGGTAATCTGTTTAGCATACTTATGCAGTTTTATGAGTTTTATGTGTATTGAAACTTAAATTTTTTTTTTCATGTTTTCATGCAATTTCATTAATGTTTAACATATGATACTTTATACACTTTTTTTTTTTTTACTTTCACAATAGCATCAATATCATCTGCAGTGCCATCAGGTAATGTGTTTTGCATACTTATGCAGTTTTATGAGTTTTATGTGTATTGAAATTAAACTTTACTTTTTTCATGTTTATTATCAATTACATAAATGTTTGACATATGTTACTTTATACACTTTTTATTTTTTTTTACTTTCACAATAGCATCAATATCATCTGCAGTACCATCAGGTAATGTGTTTTGCATGCTTATTCAGTTTTATGAGTGTTATGTGTATTGGAACTTAAACATTACTTTTTTCGTGTTTGTATGCAATTACATAACTGTTTAATATATGTGTTTGTTTATATACTTTTTTATTCATTTTCGCAATAGCAACAGTATCAACTGCAGTTCCACCAGGTAATTTGTTTTCCATACTTATGCAGTTTTTCCGTACTTATGCAGTGTTATGTGTATTGAAACCTAAACATTACTTTTTTCATGTTTGTATGCAATTACATAACTGTTTAATATATGTGTTAGTTCATATACTTTTTTGTCTATTTCCATAATAGCAACAATATCTTCAGGACCATCAGGTAATCTGTTTTGCATACTTATGCAGTTTTGTGGGTGTTATGTGTATTTGTGTAGGTATATATGAAATTTAAACATTGCATATCCTTATTTTTACATTACTTTATTTATTTTTTTTTTGTCATAACTTTTTTTTTTTTGAAGTCTAAATAGTTTTAAATAATATTTTTATTGGTTATTTTGTGCAGTATTGTATTCAAATTTATTTCTTTTTTTGTTTTTGTTTTTTAGCATCATATCAAGATTTCCTGCAATATCGCTCCCAGCACCCAGGTCCGATATCTCAAAGAGCTTACTACCGGTGGAGTCAATATGGGGGAGATGATCCCTCCTTTAGATGGAGGAGACAAGCCCCATATGACACCACTGGTAGAAAGAGGGGTGCTGGAAAGAAGTTTAACTCTTTTAATTTCTACCAGTAGCTTTTTTAAACTACTGGAAGAATAATCTTCTTTTTTATTTATAAAGAAAGTTGACTTTTTAAAAAAATGTTTTTTTTAATTTCGCAATTTTTATTATTTAATTTATATACTTTTACTATTTAATTTTTTTGATTTTTAATTCTGTTTTTAAATCCTAAACTTACCCAGTAAGCACAAGACGCATTCTAGACACTTATAGACGTCTAAAACTAGTCTAGGTAAAGACGCACTTTTATAGACGTTTTAAAGACATCTTCTAGACGTCTTTAATAAATGCAATTTTAACATGACGTTTAAAATGCGTCTTTTTAAAGTTTAAAAATACGTTTAAAAGACGCGTAATACATAGTCTAAAAACATACGCATTAAAAGACGTCTAGATCAAAGCTAAAAGACATCTTTTCTGAGACCTGTTTATAAATAAGTCATTATGACTTCTTTTTGACGGCTTTGACATTACGCGTTAAGTAGATGTCGTATATTCAAAATAAAAACATAGTTTTTATTATTTTCAATATTTTGTTCAAGTTTTAAGTGTAAATTACTTTAAATTAAATTACTTTTTTACACAATTGCTAAAATTGTTGTCACAGGAATCACTAAAACTATTGCTATAATAATAATATATCTTTTTTTTATTAATAATTATTTTGCTTTTTTAATAGATAGTTGACTGATCATGATAATAAGTGAAAATGGTAAGAATAATATATAAGTTAAATATCAGTACTTTTAGTTTTTATACACCCACAAGCCATATAATAAGTCAAGTATGCGGTCAAAAAGTAGCTAGCAACACGTATTTCAAATTTTATTATAACTAATGGTAAGTTATAAATGTTTAAATACTGTTTTGATATATATATCTGTTATTGTTATTTATTATTTTCATCTTTGATGCATAAACCGGTGGTGGTGATTACAGCAATTTAATTATGATTACTGGTTCCTATGTATATTTTGTATATACGAAATTATAACATTTTATGATGTTATAAATACAATGAATATATACCACATACTACGCGAAAATGTTACGTCATGTACTTAAATTTATCTTGAAAAAAACGTCTAACATACGTCTAAAACGCGTTTTTATAAAGACGTCTTCATTTAGACGTCTTTTAACCTTATGATCTAGACGTCTACAAGTGCGCCTTTTAGACCTTCTTAAAGACATCTTTAAAACGTCTTTTAAACGTCTTTGTGCTTACTGGGTACAAAGAACTCTTATGTTATAAAAGTTTTATCAATTTGTCTATAAGTTTTTTTATTAATTTACGTTTTTACATCTTTTTATCCTCATTTTTAATTTTAATAATACTAAATTTTCTTTTGTATTAACTTTTATTTGTTAAGTGTTATATAGTTTTTGAAAGATTTGGTAAAAATATTTAAAGTTTTTCTTTTTCTATGATATCTGTTTAATATGTCTAATATATGCATTATACACCTATTAATCTCTTTACATTATTCTCTTTAGATATATTATAAAAAAGTATTTAAAATCAGTTGTCAGCCACATGTGGTCTATATGATGCAACATGTTTGCAATTGTTGGCATGTCATTTAAAAATATGTAACTAATTTTGCTTTTTAATATTACCATTAATATGACTTTTAAAATAATAAAATTTTTTATTTGTTTCAAAAAATACTGTTTTATTACTTACAATATAGTATGTTATTACAAGATACTTCTGGCTTTTTCTCTGTTTCAAACCAGTTTAGTTATATCTTTTGTTCACAAATTTTATTAGACGCTATACACATAGTTTCATAGGTTTAAACTGATAAATAGCACTTTATTGTTTTTGTTCGTTTTAGATTAGTATAGCAAAAAATTAATAAGATAAAGTTTTATCAAACATAAATAATTTTTCAATTATGTCAAGTAACTTAAGAGCTGAAAATAGAAGAAATCGTCGAAATGAGAGAAATGAGGCCAGAAGAGAAGAAATTAATCGTTGCCAAAATGAAAGAAATTAGGCCAGGCGAGAAGAAATTATTCGTTGCCAAAATGAAAGAAATGAGGCCAGGCGAGAAGCAATTAATCGTCGCCAAAATGAAAGAAATGAGGCCAGGCGAGAAGCAATTAATCGTCGCCAAAATGAAAGAAATGAGGCTAGGCGAGAAGAAATTAATCGTCGCCAAAATGAAAGGAATGAGGCTAGACGTGAAGAAGTTAATCGTCGCCAAAATGAAAGGAATGAGGCTAGACGTGAAGAAGTTAATCGTCGCCAAAATGAAAGAAATGAGGCTAGACGAGAATTATTTAGGCGTGGAATGCATTGCATAGCAAGAAATAATGTTTTTATAGAGAGTAATTACCTAGGAGAAATGAACCATAATTGTCAGTATTGTGGTGCTAAAAAATTTTTAAATGAAACACATTTTTTGTGCTGCCATTCAGGAAAGGTTGTCTTACCTCCACTTTCACCTTATCCACCGCTGATGTTTGATTTAATGACAGGCAACCATGTTGATCGTGCTTTGAATCAAAATTTTTTCAAGCATATACGAAATTATAATGCCTGTCTATCTTTTGCTTCATTCATAGCCACAATAGATCCTCCGTCAAATCGTGGTCCACCCTGTTTTAGAATTAGTGGGCAAATTATGCATCGTATTGGTAATTTAAGACATCAGCAAGGGGATCCACCTGCTTATTGTCAATTATATGTTTATGATCCTAATACTGCTTTAAACTTTCGAATGGAGCAAAATGATTGTTGCATACGTGAGGTAATGGAACTTTTGTAGACTATAATTAATCAGGAGAACCCATATGCGCTTGCATTTAAAAACATGGCAGAAGTTGAAGATGCAGAAATTCGTCAAGCTGCTATAAAAGGTCGACCGATTTCTGTTGTCAAAATGTTGTTGCTTGAGGGTTGTGATAGACGTCGATACAATCTTCCATCACATGAAGAGGTTGCCATTGTGTTTGTAGGAAATGATGGTGCTCCACCTCCATTTAGAGAAGTTGTTATTTATCCTCGAGGTCAACCCTTAAAAACAATTTCAAGTATGTCTGCAAATCTAGATCCAATGATATATCCAATATTTTTTCCAAGAGGTGATGCAGGATGGCATGATCAACTAGAGCACAATCCTGACCGAGCAACACGTGTTCGAAATCGAGTTACTTTGTCTCAGTACTACAATTATAGGCTTTCTATTAGACAAACGTTTAGTCCTATATTTTATGGTAAGAAACTTTTTCAACAGTATGCTGTTGATGCATATGTCAAGATTGAAGGACAGCGCCTTGCTTTTATCAGAAATAACCAAAACAAACTTAGAAGTGAACAATGCGATACATTACATGAGTATGTAAATAATGTTGCAAATAACCTTAATGTAAGACCAGGTCGTGTTGTTATACTACCATCCTCATATGTTGGAAGTCAAAGAGCTTTAAAAGAAAATTTTGAAGATGCAATGGCAATTATAAAGAAATATGGTAAACCAGATCTTTTTATTACTTTTACCTGTAATTCAAAATGGAGAGAAATTACAGAAAATTTAAATCCAGGTGAGAGCGCAACTGACAGGCCTGATTTAGTTTGTCGCGTATTTAAGATGAAACTTAAATGCTTCTTAGGTGATATTTTAAAACATGGAGTCTTAGGCAAAGTTGTAAGTTATGTTCAGGTTATTGAGTTTCAAAAGCGTGGTTTGCCACATGTGCATATTTTATTACACTTTGTAAACGATGATAAGCTAGAAACAGCAGAGGATGTTGATAGTTTAATATCAGCTGAAATTCCAGATCAAACTGTTGATCCTGAACCTTTTGAAATTGTAAAAACATGTATGATTCATGGACCATGTGGGATTTTAAATCCCAATTCTCCTTGCATGAAAGATGGATTTTGCACAAAAAAATTTCCTAAAGAGTTTAATCCTTGCACTGTTGCAATTTTCAATGGTTATCCTAACTACAGGCGTTTAGATAATGGTAGAGTAGTCATTATAAAAGGTAACCAAGTTGATAATCGATGGGTCGTACCCTATAACCCTTGGTTATCAAAAAAATACCAAGCCCACATTAATGTTGAGGCTTGCATGTCTATTAAGTCAGTGAAGTATTTATACAAATATGTTTAAGGGGCATGATTGTGCGAATGTGGTAATTAATGAAAGTGTTGACCACGATGAAATTAACACATATTTAGACTGTCGCTTTGTTTCCGCCCCAGAGGCTCTTTGGCGAATATATGAGTATTCCATAAGTGATATGTCACATACTATTATCCGCCTTCAAATCCACCTTCCTGATAATCAGAGAGTATATTTTAACGAAGGAGAAGAACAAGTAGCTATAGATCGTGCAGCACAGCGAGACACTCACCTAACCGCTTGGTTGAAGTTAAATGCTGAAAATAATGAAGCACGTCAGTATTCTTATGTTGAAATTCCATATCACTTTGTTTTTGGTAAAAATTGCATGTGGAAAGTAAGACAAAGAGGTAGTGATAAGGTGGTTGTTCGAATGTATAAAGTCAGTTCATTTTGCGAATTGTTTTTTCTTAGATTGTTACTTTTGCATGTAAAAGGTGCAAAGTCTTTTGAGGATTTGCGTACTGTTCATGGAACTGTTTTTAATACATTTCGTGAAGCATGTTATAATTTAGGTTTATTGCAAGATGACATTGAGTGGAGAAATACATTAACTGAAGCTGCTGCAACTCGGATGCCTAAACAATTTAGGCTACTGTTTTCAATCATATTAACTTTATGTGAACCTGATGATCCTTTACACCTTTGGAATACATTTAAAAATTATATGGTTGAGGATTACATACACCATTCAATGCCAGTCGTACTTGCTGAGCAGGCAGCTCTTTGTCAAATTGAATCTATAATTAATCAGAGTGCTAAAACCTTAGCTGATTATAATTTGCCAGCTTTAGATCAGTTTTTAGATAATGTCCCAGAAAATGATGATGAAGATGTTCAGGTGTTTATTGATGAAGCAAACCGAGTTAGACCATTATTGAATGATAATCAACGTAATGTAGCTGATGCGATCCTTGCTGCACTAAGTGTGGAACCTACTAATGAAAAAAAGCATTCAAGGTTGTTTTTTATGGATGGGCCTGCCGGTTGTGGTAAAACATTTACTTACAATTATTTAATTTCTGAAACACAGTGCAGGCATATTAGAACTGCAACAGCTGCATGGACAGGAATAGCTGCAACTCTTCTCAAAAATGGGTGCACAATGCATGGCTTATTCAAACTTCCTGTTCCAATTTTGGAAACTAGCACATGTAATGTAACTCCAAACTCTATTCATGGTAGATTCCTGAGACAAATCAGTTTATATTTACTTGATGAAGCATCTATGATACCCAAATATGCTTTGAGTGCCATTGATAAGCTATTACAAGATATCTGTAATAACAATTTTCCTTTTGGTGGTAAGGTTATTCTTATGGGTGGAGACTTCAGACAAATACTTCCAGTTGTGAAGCGAGGTCGACCAGCAGAAGTTATAGAATCATGTTTAAAATGTTCTGAACATTGGCAATATGTGCAAAGGTTCTCATTAACTGTAAATATGAGGGTTCAGATAGAAGAAGAGGAATTTTCTCAATGACTTTTAAAGCTTGGAAGTGGAACATTACCTGTCAAGCCTGAAGATCCTTTGCGAGGGTGTATTGAAATACCTGAGCAGTGCTTTTTTCAGTGATAATGAATCTATTGTGGAGAAGATTTTTGGTAGTGCAGAAAAAGCTGGTTATGCAAAACGTGCTATTTTAACGCCAACAAATGTTGATTCATTGGCAATAAATGAAGAAGTCCTTCATCGTTTACCCGGTGATGTGAAAACATATTTAAGTTCATTTAGCATTGATACTGATGATCTTAATGAAATTAATAACTTTCCAGTCGAGTTTTTAAATAGTTTGACTCCATCAGGTATGCCTGTTCATTGCCTAAAATTAAAAATTAGTGCTGTTATAATGCTACTTCGAAATTTAAATCTCAAAGGTGGACTTTGTAATGGAACCCGTTTGATGGTGCGTGCATTACACAACAATTATATTGATGGTGAGGTTTTAACAGGTGTATCAGCTGGTAACAGGGTATTTGTTCCTCGAGTTCAATTAGCTCCATCAGATGCAAATTTACCTTTTACACTTAAACGCCGTCAGTTTCCAGTTAGGTTAGCATACTCAATGACCATAAATAAAAGTCAAGGTCAAACATTTGAAAAAGTTGGTGTTTATCTCAAAAAGCCTTGCTTTTCACACGGCCAATTATATGTTGCATGTTCAAGAACAAGATCATTTAATAGTTTGTTTTTCAAAGTTGATAAACATCCATTACAAGGTATGTCATTTAACAAACATTACACAAACAATGTTGTCTTTACAAATGTTCTTAATTTATAATTTTGACAAGTATATTATGTGTTATATGTGTTTTATATTTTTTGTATGTTTTTTTTTTTTTGCTATATGTGTATATAAATATATGTGTTTATATGCGTTTATATATCTTTATTTATATTTATGTGCTTAAGTTTATACAAGTTTATATTAAGTTGTTTCCATGTGAAAAGTGGTGTTACTTGGCAACGTGTAGTGCAAGATTGTGATTCTCGCTAGCCAAGCGGTGTTACTAATTAGTAGTGTTACTTGGCACTTAATGCCAAGCGGTGTTACTAAATTGTGGTGTTACTTTGCAGCGTTTAGTGCCAAGCGGTGTTACAAGTGTTGAGCTAGGTTGTGTTGTCTAGCTTTTTAAATTATTCTGGAAACACGTAATCTGAATATTTTGTGTTATGTGCAAATGTGTTTAAGTGTATTCACGTTTATTAAATTAAAATACTTTGCAAAAAATTGATGTTGTTAAAGCTTGGGAACAAATGTTTAAAAAAAGTGTTTTTCAAACCTGAATTTTTTTAGACATAACAAAGTTAAACTCTTCAACAGCTTCTAAATATATATCTGAAACAACAAAAATCCTGCCTACACTACTGGTGTTATTGTTTGTCATCCTGTAATGTTGTTGTGATGTTTTGTGTTGATAGACAGCTTGGATTACCTTCACGTTGGTGTCTATCGTTAAAAATGATTATTGGGTAGCTTCATTACTGAAATTTACTCCTAATCATTCACTAAAAGCCAAGAAATATTTAAAAAAAAAATGCCTAATTTTTTTGTGTCAGTAAGAATTTTTATCTTTAGCAATGCTGATAAAACTGAATTTTTTAAAAAAAAGAGTATTTCCAGCCTTCCAACCAAATATTAGAGACTTTTACAAAAGTACTCTCACAAAGTAAGTGTCTAATATTTATTTAATATTACTAAATTTCGTTTCGTATTTTTCATTTTTCAAATGAATTAACATAAAACAAATAAATGTGCATTCAGTGTTATCAATAATGATTTTATTTCATTTTTAGATAATGCTTTTATAATCAATTTAAAAGTCTTTCAAATCGTTAATCATTTTCTAAAGGCAAAGAAGAAGAATCATTAATCTTTATACCGTTTAATAAAGCTGTTTTAATAAAACGCAATACAAATTGTTGTAAATTAGTATTTGAATAATTTTTACGTTGTTACCTTATTTTGCAGTTTCCTATCACTTTGTATTGAATTAACTAAATCCAATATTACAGTTCCTTTTATCAAGTACTTCACACTTTCTGTTTTTGTTTTATGCAGAAAAACAGATCAAGTTAATTTATTTGACTTGCCTAGCTACTTATTTTACAGGCCTAGCCACAGTGAGTGTGCATAAATCAACAGAGGATTTGGGTTTGGGCAGGTTGTCTTGAACTAAATGATTTACCTTTTTCATGTTAAGCTCTAAATATAAATATACGGAAAAGGTGCATACGTGAATTTTTTTTTTCTAGCACATAATCTATTGTTCACTAAAAAATATTAGAGGGAGAAATAGAGATAAGGTTAATGTGGAATAGATTTTGTCCTTTTAAGTGAAAAACTATTTTATAATCTATCTATCTTCTATATAATAATGCCGAACTTAATAGTAGTGTTAGTAGAAAGAGTCGCAGCACTTTTTTTAGAAGAAAACGTGTATGCAAATATCTAACGTAAGTAATTTAGTAATGTTTAAACATACTGAAATATTTTTCAAGTTTTATAGTTTGACTTTGACTTAAAAATTGCATTGCGTCAACCTCTCCTTAATTTTTGATCTACAGCAATTCCGTTAAAAACAATTTTTATATATTTTTAAAATTTCGATATTTGATGTATCAGCATGGCCGAGTGGTTAGCGCGCTAAGCTTCTGAACGTAATAGTCGTGGTTCAAATTTACCACCAGTGATTTTTTTCTTTAAATTACAAAATATTTGTGAAGTTAAACAAGTTAAATGTTATACACTTTAACCGTTTTTTCTTTTTAAATTTTTTGGATTTCTAAAAACACTAATAAACGGGGGGAAAATTTGTTGCGTGTGTGTCACGATTTTGATACTGTTCTCACATAATTGGTCCTAAATAGCTACGGATAGTCTTAAAAAAAAAAGTCCTAAAACCTAATAAAGAAAAAATTTGATAAAACCGTCCTGCTACTCCACATGGTATTGCAGTGGAGGCAGGGAAAAAAAATGCAATTAAAAGGTTTTTTATTATATTTAATTTTTTGCTATAAATATAGCCACATTAAAAAAATTTAAAAAAATGCATTGAGATTTTTTAGGCGCGGATCTGAAGCCTTGCACAGCGAATCTGATGACAGCGCAGTTAACTTGTGAGCTGTCAAAGTTATGCATGTAGGGAGGCGCTTCAACATTTTTTTAAAAATGTAAAATGAAAACAAAATAAATACCATAAGTAAGAGCTAAATATTAACATTTAAAAATTACCAAACTTTTTGTTATATTATTATTAGTTTTTTAACTTTTAAACCACAAAATTTATAATTAATTTTTTTGCATGACTTTTGACGCTTTAAGCGACTAACGTTTTAAAAACGTTTCCGTCTAATACAAAAGTAACTATAAAAGACCGTTATTATTCTAAACTAAGCATATAATAATAATAATAAATATAGTAAATAGTAACTATTAAAAGCGGCTAGGACGTGACCATAAACCGTGGTCCATGGCTGGTCTAATTGTCGGAAGTAGTTTAGTTCAGAATTTAAAAAAAAATAAATAAATAAACGGGGTTTAATAAGCTATATACGTATGCGGTATGTTAAAGTTTTTTTTTGCTCTCAAAGCAAATTTTTTTGATGAATTTTTTTCCACTTTTTACTAAAAAATATTGAAGTAAATAAGGAACAAGTAAAGAAATGATTGGCGTGGAATAAATAAATATAGAAGTAGAAGAAAAGATCTGTATTTACCGATACGGACAGCTAGATTAAGAAAATAAGGAAAAAGGTTTGTGTGGAATAGAATAACAAAGACCGGTATTTTTACGGGTCAACCCAGCTAGTCTATATATATTTTACTACTATAATCAAAATAAAACATTTATAGCAAATAGTGATTATCCTTAATAATAAAGCAAAATATTAATATAAGAATCTTAATAATATCAATAACAAAAAATAGAACAGATGAAAAGTAGGATAAAAAAAAAAAAAAAAAAAAAAGGATAGTTTAACGACTAGGAAAGTTTTGTGTTACAGAATTTTTAATCATAGAACTTTAGAAGATAGAAATATTGAATATGCATTTAAGTAAAATTAAAAGAAAGTTAGGGAAATATATATATATATATATATATATATATATATATATATATATATATATATATATATATATATATATATATATATATATATATATATATATATATATATATATATATATACATATATATATATATATATATATATATATATATATATATATATATATACATATATATATATATATATATATATATATATATATATATATATATATATATATATATATATATATATATATATATACATATATATAAATATTTATATATATATATATATATATATATATATATATATATATATATATATATATATATATATATATATATATATATATATATATATATATATATATATATATATATATATATATATATATATATATATATATATATATATATATATATATATATATATATATATATATATATATATATATATATATATATATATATATGATTTAAAGGATAACATCTTGTGTGAGAGTATATTTATATATTATTTTAAAACATCAAAAATACGATTTCTCTCAACACTTATAATTTTTTATTATTATAGAAATTTTCGCTGGATTTTAGATACCAGCTTCTTCAGCTTGTTAAATGTTACAGTAATTAATAAAATCGTTATAATTTAAATTAAAACGTTGCTATTGACGTCAGCGGTTGAATGGCTTCTTTTTCGCTGAAATTTAAAAAATGGCGTCCAAAACTTAGTTTTTACGTATTGACCCTCATCGAGATTAATCCCGCCATTTTTTGCAGAACACATGTTTTTTTGTATTTCTAGGGCTTCCCTAACTTTTCTTTCAAATTTCTTATTTTCTACTTTCAATGTTTTTGTTTGTTCCCAAATAATTTCTTTTTTGCAAAATGTTTTATGCAGAGCTAATGCGGATTGATGCTGCTTATTTTCATCAATGCTTTTTTGGTGTTGATGCATTCGTGTGTTTACTTTCATTTTTGTTTCGCCTACATACACTTTTGAACAGTTGCATTTGATTATATATGTTCCCGGTTGACTGTTATTAGGTAGTTTTGATTTATTTTTTGATGTTAACAGGGATCTTAAGTTTGGGTTTGATTTGAATACCGCTCTGTAACCAGCTTTTCGGAATATTTTCCTAAGTTTTGGTGAGAGACCGGGTACCCATGGTAAGGAAACTACAGGATAATTATTGATTTCAGATGGAATTGTAATTTTATTTTGTCTTTTGTGTTGAAACTGATGCGCAATATTCATCATTTGAGTTTTATCGTAACCATTTTCAATAAACACGTCGATTAGAAAATTTGATTCATTTTGCAAGTAAGACTTACTACAGATTGAGTAAGCTCGGTGGAGAAATCCTTTAAAAATAGAGTTCAAGATATTTGGATCATGATTTGAGTGTGGCTTAATTTGAATGTTAGTGATAGCATCTTTACGATATACTGCGTATTCATACTTTCCTGTTTTTTTATTCATAATTTGTATATCCAGATAATTTAGTGTTCCTAACTCGTTTTCAACTTCAATTGTATACTGGATGGAAGGATGTTGTTGATATAAAATGTATTGGAAATGTTTTGCTTGGTTGCGATCTGGAAACCTTGCGTGACTATCATCGACATATCTTAAGAACGATTTGAGGTTAAGTGCAGGGTTGAAATTTAGTGCAACTTTAATTGCATTGTTTTCATGGAATTGTAGAAATGATTCTGCAAGAACGACCATGAACGAAAGTCCAATTGGACCCGAGTTTTCCATTATATGAATTTCATTGTTCCAATGAAAATAACATTGAAATAAACAAAGTTCTATAAGTTGTTTTATTTCAGGTATACTTAGTCTAGTTAATTTTTTATATGTTGTATTATTATTTAATTTTTCTATAAATACAAGGGTGGCTTCTTTTAAAGGAACCGACGGATACAGATTTACGACATCAAAAGATACCTGAACTTCATCATTGTCAATTTTCCAAGATTCAGCTTTTTTAATAAAGTCAAAGGAATTTTTTAATCTTGTCAAGTTTTTATTCAAAACTGGTTGTATTATCTTAACTAAGAACTCAGATATTCCGTAGTTTGCTGTGCCGATTGTGGAGATAATTATTCTCATAGGATAGAATTTTTCAGGTTTGTGGGCTTTGATTACACCATACATACGAGGCGGGATGGGGTCACTAGGATATATTTTTTCGTATTCCTCTTTTGAAAAACAGTTTCTTTTATTTAGTTTTGAAAGATATCTACGAATTTTAGCCGCGTAATTTGCAGTAGGGTCTTCACTTACTATTTTTGTTAGGCCTATTTGTTGGCGAATTTTTTCCAAGGCTTTTGAATGTTCGATTCGTACAAAACCTGTCCCTTTGTCGAATGGATATATGTATTACTGTAACATTTAACAAGATTACTGTAACATTTAACAAGCTGAAGAAGCTGGTATCTAAAATCCAGCAAAAATTTCTATAATAATAAAAAATTATAAGTGTTGAGAGAAATCGTATTTTTGATGTTTTAAAATAATATATATATATATATATATATATATATATATATATATATATATATATATATATATATATATATATATATATATATATATATATATATATATATATATATATATATATATATATATATATATATATATGTATATATATATATATTAAAGTACTACTTTAATTCATAAACATTTTGTGTTAGCTAATGCTAAGTTGAACACAAGTGCTACTATTGTTTGTACACGTGAGCGAATAGAAATTGACGAAGATGAGATGCTCCATGAATTGTATTCTAATTCACAACTTATTTTATGCGGGACTATTACAAACAGTTATAAACTGATGACGTGTAAAGACCTATAATGGTATAAATAATAACATAATAATAATAATAATAATAATAATAATAATAATAATAAATAACAATAGTAAATATTAATAATAATAATAAAAATAAATATTATTAATAATAATATTATTAATAATATTAATGCAGTAATATATATATATATATATATATATATATATATATATATATATATATATATATATATATATATATATATATATATATATATATATATATATATATATATATATATATATATATGTATATATATATATATATATATATATATATATATATATATATATATATATATATATATATATATATAAAATATATATTGTATATATATTATATATATATATCTATATATATATGAATTGTATTCTAATACACAACTTATTTTATGTAGTTCTTTAGATGGTTAGTTTTTTTTATGTTGGTTACAATGCTTAATCAATTTAATTAATCTGAAAATTATACAATTTTTTTTTAAGTAGATTTTTTAACTATATAACCATATATTATTACATTGAATGACAAAATTGTAATATTTATTAAATTTTTAATTTTTACATTCATTTTCAGAAATTGTTCCACAAGTTATTCAGGATCAGACTTCTCCTGAACCAGTCCATAATCCCATTACTTCTACTCCTGCATTATTGCAAGTTCAAGATCTGAAGTAAGTAATTATTTAATTAACACATATTCATTTTAAAATGAGATATCATTATATGATAATGAGTGATGTAAAATATATATACATATATATATACATATATATATATATATATATATATATATATATATATATATATATATATATATATATATATATATATATATATATATATATATATATATATATATATATATATATATATATATATTATGATATATATATATATATATATATATATATATATATATATATATATATATATATATATATATATACATATATATATATATATATATATATATATATATGTATATATATATATATATATATATATATATGTATATATATATATATATATATATATATATATATATATATATATATATATATATATATATATATATATATATATATATATATATATATATATATATATATATATATATATATATATATATATATATATATATATATATATATATATATATGTATATATATATATATATATATATATACTAGCTGGGCGGACCCGTAAAATACGGGTCTTTACCGAACCGACCATTTTTATACTTTTCTGATCATTTCTATAGCTATCAGGACGTAAAATAAGGGTCTTAGTAAATCTATTCCACACCGACCTTTTCTATACTTATTCCTTACATCAATATTTTTTTAAAACCGTTTTAAAAACTATGTACATATAAAAAACTATACTTACTTTTTGATATGACAAAAAAATTTCATTATATAACGTTATAATGTTCTTTAAAAAACTTTAAACGCTTTTAATATTATGCCGATTATAAAGATTTTAATAAGAAAAAACGTAAAAAAGACTACGAACTTTGAAAAATGCTAAAACATTCAGCACGTGATGCCGTTAAAGTACGCCTTAGTTAACGTTCATAACATATACACATCTAATTAGATTTTTTTTAAATTCAGTTGTTCCAAACTTGGTTTTGAATTTTTAATTACACTTCTTATGCGTCATAAATTATCTCAAATTCTAAATAGAGAATACGTTTATGGGCTAATTGGTAGCCGCGCAACACTTAGACAGATATAGTCATCTCACCCCGGGAGTTCATATTCCAGTGACCTTTTTTTTCATCCCAACTTACAACAAAAATAATTAAAAATAAATGTTATTATTGAAACAGTTTTAAACATTTCTTCCAATTTTTCTTTGAACTTAATTTTATTCACGGTAAATATACTTTTGGTGTTTGTAAGCGTTTTTTTACGTTTAGTATTGGTAGGAATTATTTGCACGCACGTATTTTAAACAATTATTTTTACTGTTTCATCTAAAAATCATATGTAATTTAGTTTTATAATTTTTTAAATATAATATATATAATTTAAAATATTTTATTAACCCTATTTAAATAAGTATCAAAACTCTTTTCTTTAATTTAAAAGAATGCCTGCCCAAACCTAAACGCTCAGTTGATATATCTCCGCTTTGCTTTTATTTGTTAACCGTTAGAAAAACATTACAAAAAGAAACATAATAGAGTCCATTAGTTTATAGCATCCGAGTAGACTCTTCCAATATTAAACAGAGTATCTTACAATTTTATTGGTTTTCTAAATTCTGTCATAGTTGCGCACTCGGTTTAGAATATTTAACGGGGGCGTAAATAAGTAACTGAAAAATTCTAAATATTTTTATTATTTTAAATTAAATAGTTTTAACGTTTTATTATTTTGAAAAATAATAAGTTCAATAAAATAATTTATTTTAAAAATAAATTTAAGATTTTTAAAGTTTTTTTAAATAAGAATGTTTTTTTTTAAAACCCCCTCACTGTTTTAAAAAAATTCAAGGTCGCCGCGTGGCAAGTTCAAATCATCAGCTTGCTTTTTTTAATAAAATTATTGTTATTTAAAATGCAAAACAAAACAACTTTATAGTTCTAAATATTTACATGTTATATACCCAATATCTTTGCGCTAATACGACTTAAAATAACATGACAAATAATAAATTTAAAATTATAATAAATAAAAGTTTACGTAAGGCTAACCACGGCATTTTGACGAAAATTTCAAAAATATATAATAAATAAAAGACTTTGTAAATCGATCAAAATTAAAGAGACGTTGCCGCAATGCTGTTTTTAAGTGAAAGTAAAACTTGACATGTTTTTGTATGTTTTAACATTTCATATTTTGAAGTTTACGTAAGTTAGATATTTGCATACACTTTTGTTCAGGTTTACTTATCAAAAAGTGCTGAGACTCTTCCTCGCCATTACTTTGGTTGCAATAGTTGCCATGGGTTTGTCAAACACGCTCGAAAGAGCGCTACTAACACTATTAAGTTCGGCAATAATATATAGAGAAGATAGCTTTTAGTAAATGGTATGAAGATTAGTAATACGTCTTTAGAAAAAGTAAACGCTTTTAAAAAATGATTAACGATTAACAATTTTTAAACCAGTTATAACAGGAAATCTACCTATAAAATGAAGAAAAATATTGTTATATAAAACACTGAATACACATATAAAAGTTGTTTAAAGTTATTTAAAAGTTGTCTAAATGTTGAAAAATTACATAATAAGATGTAAAAAAAAATATAAAAGGTGACGAAACTTAGTCAATTATCAAAAACTAAATAAGAAACTTACTTTGTGAGATCGCTTGTGTGGAAGTCTCTAGTATTTGATTGGAAGGCTGGAAACACTCTTTATTTAAAAAGCTATTTTATCAACAATGCTAAAGATAAAAAGTCACAGTGAGATAAAAAAATTAGGCATTTATTCAAAAAAATATTTCTTGGCTTTTAGTGAATGATTAGAAGGAGTAGTTTCAGTAATGAAGCTAGCTAATAATCATTTTTAACGATAGACACCAGCGTGAAGGTAAGCCAAGCTGTCTATCAACACAAAACATCACAACAGAAACATTACACAATGACAAACAAAAACACCAGTGGTGTAGGCAGGACTTTTGTTGTTTTATAAGAAATTTAAAACCTGTTAATGAATAAGATTATTATTATATGCTTAAAAAAATACTTTTTTAACTAATTGGCAGCTAAATTCAAGGGAGGAAAGCAAACCTTTTTAAAACATATTTGTTTTCAAGCCCCAACCACATCCATATTTTACAAATTATTTGACTTTGACAAACATGAACACAATTAAGTTTAGTTGAAAGAGTCTGAAAGTAATGAAAGAGTTTGAAAGTAAATAGTCTGAAAGTAATGAAATAGTCTGAAAGTAATGAAAGTAATAAAAGAGTCTGAAAGTAATGAAAGAGTTTGAAAGTAATTAAAGAGTCTGAAAGTAATAAAAGTAATAAAAGAGTCTGAAAGTAATGAAAGACTCTGAAAGTAATGAAAGAGTCTGAAAATAAAAGTAAAACTTGAAGCATCAAAAAATCCTGCCTACGCTACTGAATAATACACAACATATGACATTTGTAAGTACACATTACACAATGTATTCAGATATTATGTGTTTCCAAAATAATTAAAAAAGCTAGACAACACAACCTAGCTCAACACTTGTAACACCGCTTGGCACTAAACGCTGCCAAGTAACACCAGAATTTAGTAACACCGCTTGGCATTAAGTTCCAAGTAACACCACTAATTAGTAACACCACTTGGCTGGCAAGGATCACAATCTTGCACTACACGTTGCCAAGTAACACCACTTTTCAAACATGGAAACAACATAATATAAACTTAAACACATATAAACAAACATATACAAACACAAACATCTATATATAAGTAAAAACATATATTCACATATATAAACATATATAGCAAAGAAAAAAAACATAAACAAACTTGTCAAAATTATAAATTAAGAACATTTGTAAACACAACATTATTTGTGTAATTTTTGTTAAATGACTTACCTTGTAATGCATGTTTATCAACTTTAAAAAACAAACTATTAAAAGATTTTGCTCTTGAACATGCAACATATAATTGGCCGTGTGAAAAGCAAGGCTTATTGAGATAAACACCAACTTTATCAAATGTTTGACCTTGACTTTTATTTATAGTCATTGAGTATGCTAACCTAACTGGAAATTGACGACGTTTAAGTGTAAAAGGTAAATTTGAATCTGATGGAGCTAATTGAACTCGAGGAACAAATACCCTGTTACCAGCTGATACACCTGTTAGAACCTCACCATCAATGTAATTGTTGTGTAGTGCACGCACCATCAAACGTGTTCCATTACAAAGTCCACCTTTGAGATCTAAATTTCTAAGTAGCATTATAACAGCACTAATTTTCAACTTTAGGCAATGAACAGGCATACCTGATGGAGTCAAAGTATTTAAAAACTCAACTGGAAAATTATAAATTTCATTATGATCATCAGTTTCAATGCTATCTGAACTTAAATAAGTTTACAAAATTAATGAAAAAGTCAATTAAACAAAATAACGAAACATAAAAGCTATAAGTGCAAACAAATTTTGTAATTTGACTGAAACACAAAATTATTTTTACCTTGATGGCAACAGACTAAATTCTTTATAAACTATTAGCTAATGATCAACAAAGTAAATTTTAAATAATTAAAATTTACTTAGTTAAAACCATATTTAACAGTAGACCAAGTAAACTTATGATAGTTGCTAAAGTACTAAAGTAGAACTAAAGAAATAAAATAACAAAATTTAAAAAGTTTGTAATACAAAATAATTTATAATACATAAAAAAGATTAACTGCAGTTTAAAGTATTCACAAAATCTTAACTGACAATAAAATACCATCTTGCCGTGGATAATCATAAACACAGTCACAGCAGCAAATCATTTCAATATTTTGCATGTTCTACTGACTAAAATTTTGATAGTGTTTAATGCAGAAACAGAATCTTTCACCAAAAGTTTACTTAATATTAAAAAAAATAGAAACAAAATTTGGAATTGAAAAAAACGCAAATGTAAAATTTTTAATAAGTAAATTGTAAAAGATTCTTTTAAAATAAATTAACTTAATAAAATCTTACCTAAATATCAAACACCTCCAGACAATAACACTCTACAAAATTATTAGATTCATAAAAAATACGATTGAATATCTAACACTATTTAAAACCAATAATAATAAAAAAATAATAATAAAAAACAACTTACTTATAATTAAAATAAGGTCAACATTAGCTTCTATAAAATTAACAGCCTGTCAAGATTCATCCCCTACTAAACAGACTGTTTCATTAAGTAAAGCATTAAAATCTTTAGCAACTTCAAAAACAAATTAAAAAATACATACTACATATAAATAAAAGCATAATTAACAATTATATCATTTATATGATAATGATAATAGAATCTAAGATATCTCAAGAAATACAAAACTTACCGCTTGCAAATCTAAAATGCCTTGTGCATAACCAGTTAATAGCGGTCTGAGTTAACTCTTTCAAAACTATAAACACAGTATAATACTATTTCGATAGTTATCTGAATTGTCATTGTTGAGCACTTGGTTTAAAATGTTTAACGGGGGCAGATATGAAACTTTAAACTTTTTTATTATCTTAAGATTAGGTTATTTTAACTTTATATTATTTTTAAAAATAACCAAGTTGGAAAAAATGATTTATTTTAAATATAAAATAAATTTTTTACTCATATTCTTAATAGAAACAACTTATTTTATCCCCCTGACTGTGTTCAAAAAAAGTTTGTCGCGGAAAGCTTTAATTTTTAAAAAGCAAAACAAAACAATTTCATAGTTCTCTTTTTATTGTGTTCTATTTTTGAATTTTTAAAAAAACCAATAAAAAATTTAAAAAAAAAAAGGTTCTAACGATTGGACTCAAACCTCGATAGATATTTCAGAATGTCGTCCGCTCGGTCACACTGGCAAATATTCCTTTACTAAATACTTAGATACATATAAAACACGATTGAAAATTTTACATAAAATTACATAAAACTAATTATTAAAAAAACTTACTTATATTCAAAATAAGGTCGTCTTTAGCTTGTATAAAATTAACAGCCAGTCAAGAATCAATACAACACCTATAAAACAGAATGTTTCATTAAGTAAAACATTAGAAATTTAAAGTTCCGTAATTTTAAAAACAGATGCAAAAATACATGCTATTTTTTTAAGGATATTCAATAATTATATCATTTATGACAACAATAATAGAAGATACAATGTCATTTCAAGAAATACAAAAATCTTACCGAGTAAACATTTGCAATGCCTCGTGCAGTTTGTTCAGATCAGTTTAAAGTGTTTAAGTTGACTCTTCCAATCACTTACGGAGAATCATACTATTTTGATGGTTTTCTAAATTCTGTCATTGTTGCGCACTCGGTTTAGAATATTTAACAGGGGCGTTGTAAATTAGCTGTAAAACTCTAAATATTTTTATTACCTAAATATCGATAGTTTTAACTTTTTTTTCATTTTAAAAAATAATAAACTTCATAAGATAATTTATCTTAAATTTAAAATTTTTAATTATTTTTTTAATAAAAATACATTTTTAAAACCCCCTTACTGTTTTAAATATTCAGGTTGCCGCGTGGCAAGTTTAAATCATCAGCTTGCTTTTTTTGTTAAATGCACTTTATAGATTTTATATTCTATATATACACATGTTATATACTCATTTTCCTTGCGCGAACTCAACTTAGTTGGAGAAATGTAAATGTAAAACTAAAATAACATGACAATTAAGCGCAACAAATTTCTCCTGTTTTTTGATGTTTTTAGAACTTTTAACCTTTCTTTAAAAATTCTCTTCCTTTCGTTTGTTTAAGTGTAAAATATTTTTACATTTGTTAAGTATATAATCTCTATACATAATCTTTATTTCGTACTTTAGAAAAATCGAAAATGAATTTAAAAAGAAAACATGCCATAGGTAGGATTTGAACCATGGCTCTTCAGGTCAGCTGCCAGCGAGCTGACCACTAAGCTATGCCACTATGAACGATTGAACAAATTTTAAAAATATATAGTAAATAAAAGTCTTTATAAAACGGCCATCGATCAAAATTAAGATGTTGCCGCAATGCAGTTTTCAAGTGAATGTAAAACTTAAAAACTTGATACATGTTTTAGTATGTTTTGACATTTCGCATTTTGAAGTTTACGTAAGTTATTTATTAGCACACACTTTCGTTAATGTTTTCTTATAAAAAGGTGCTGCAACTCTTCCTCGCCAGTACCCTCGGTTGCAATGGCTGCGTTGGGTTTTGTGTCAAACGTGCTCGAAAGGGAACTACTACTATTGAGTTCCGTATTATTATATAAAGATGATATGTTTCAGTTTTAATACACAGAACACCCAAAAAATACATAAGTATGCAAAACACATTACTTGACATGTATGATCCTGTAAAGCAAAAAAAAAAAAAAAAAAAAAAAATTAAAAAAATAAATAAATTTTTGAACTGACATAATAAAACAGAAATGTATAATATTTGGCACTTTGCTTAACATTTGATTTTTCTAATGTTTCTAAATAGAATAAAGAAATTTATTAACAATAACATAGAAACTAATTTGCAATGTATAGAAAAACTAAAAAACCTGAAAACTAAAAAGTATTTAATGTTTGCAGAAAACAAACAGCAACAGAATAGAAAAAAAAATTATTCTAACCTTGATTGCGACGTACTAATTTTTTTTTTTACACTATTAGGTAATGATCAACATAGTAAAGTTTAAATGACAAAAGTTTACTTTAAGTTAAAACCATATTTTATTGTAGATAAAGTAAATTTATGATTGTTGGTAGAGCACTAAAGTAAAACTAAAGAAAAAAATAAAATTTAACTAAATTAAAATGCAGTTAAACATGAAAAATAACTCTACCATCATGAGAAAAGGTAAAATTATAAAAACAAACAAACAAACGACAACAATAAAAGAATATTTCTTTTTATTAAAAATAAGAACCTCTTATTAAAAAAAATAACAGATAAGGACACATCAATGAACAAATAGACTTATCAATTAAAAACATACAGAGTAAAAAAGCAATTTTGAAGTTCTTTCACAAATTTATTGTAAGTACTTATTAAATACCCCCTAATTCAGTTATTATTGTTGATTATTATAATAATTATTTACTGCAATTTAAAGTATTCACAAAATCTAAACTGAAAATAAAGTATTATTCTGACACGGAGAATCATAAACACGGCCACAGCAGCAAATTATTTTAATATTTTGCATGTTCTGCTGACTAAAATATTGATGGTGTTTAGTGTAGAAACAGGATGTACATCTTTTCAACAACTTTAGATAAGAGTATTCTCTTCCTCTTTAATAAGGGGAAACCTTTTTTTCTTGTTCTGGGCTCACACTCTATGTACACTATAGGATGTGGGCTCTTATCTCAATTGATAAGGGCCCACATCCTTATTCTTATTGAAATTGCTAAACGATATTTTAATTTCATACTTAATTATAAAACCTAACTTTAATCTTGCAGAGATTGTTATAACTTATTTGGCTAAAATAAATATCGAAAAAGTATATATAATTTAGAGCAATCAAATTATTAGTAAAATATCTCATAAAATAGAATAACACAACCACATTAGCAAAAATTAATGTTTTTCTTAATCAGTTTTAAAGATGAAGAAAAATTAGAAATTAAAACCTACAATATGTTATAACCTGTGGCCCTAAAATTAAAATACCAAACAAAATATTGTTATTTAATTTTAATTAACTAACAATGATTTGTAACACTTAACACATACACACAATAACACTTTACTAAATACTTAGATTCATATAAAACACAATTGAATATTTTACATAAAATTATTCAAAACCAATAAACAAAAAAACAAAAAAAAAACTTACTTATATTTAAAAAATGGTCGTCTTTAGCTTGTATAAAATTATCAGCCTGTTAAAAATCAATGCAACACCTATAAAACAGAATGTTTCATTATGTAAAACATTAGAAATTTAAAGTTCAGTAATTTTAAAAACAGATTAAAAAATACATACTATTTATATAAGTATATTCAATAATTATACTATTTATGACAACAATTTATGACAACAATAACTATATCATTTATGACAATAATAATAGAAGATAATATGTCATTTCAAGAAATACAAAAATCTTGTGTGCACATTTTACAATGCCTCGTGCAGTTCAGTTCAGATCAGCTATAAGCGTTCGAGTTGACTCTTCCAATATTAGACGGAGTATCATACTATTTTGATGGTTTTCTTAATTCTGTCATTGTTGCGCACTCGGTTTAGAATATTTAACTGGGGCGTAGTAAAGTAGCTGTAAAACTCTAAATATTTTTTATTACTTTGATATCAGATAGTTTCAACTTTTTTTTCATTTTAAAAAATAATAAATTTAATAAAATAATTTATTTTAAATCTAAACTTAAAATTTTGAGTTATTCTTTTAATAAAAATATACTTTTAAAACCCCCTTACTGTTTTAAAAAATTTTTAGGTCGCCGCGTGGCAAGTTCATCAGCTTGCTTTTTTTTTTTAAATGCACTTTATAGTTTTATAGATTTTATATTCTATATATACATGTTATATACCCATTTTTCTTGCATAATCTCAACTTAGTTGGAGAAAACTTTAAATATAAAACTAAAATAACATGACAAATAAGCGCAACAAATTTCTCCTGTTTTTTGACGTTTTTAGAACTTTTAAGCTTTCTTTAAAAATTCTCTTCCTTTCGTTTGTTTAAGTGTAAAATACTTTTACATTTGTTAAGTATATAATCTCTATACATCTTCAAAAGTGATTAGTTTTGTATTTTAAAAAAAACCGAAAAAGATTAAAATAAGAGTTCCAGGCACGGGAGTTGAACCCCGGCTCTCCTGATTAATGGCTCAGCAAGCTGACCACGAAGCTACGCCGTATTATCTATTATTGAAATTTTTAAAAATATATACTTAACAAAAAACTTTATAAAACAGCTATCGGTCAAAATTTAAGGAGATGTTGCCGCAATGCAGTTTTCAAGTGAAAGTAAAATCAAAAAACTTGATACATGTTTTAGTATGTTTTGACATTTCGCATTTTGAAGTTTACGTAAGTTAGTTATTAGCACACACTTTCGTTAATGTTTTCTTATAAAAAGGTGCTGCGACTCTTCCTCGCCAGTACCTCGGTTGCAATGGCTGCGTTGGGTATTATGTCAAACGTGCTCGAAAGGGTACTACTACTATTAAGTTCAGTATTATTATATAAAGATATATATATATATATATATATATATATATATATATATATATATATATATATATATATATATATATATATATATATATATATATATATATATATATATATATATATATATATATATATATATATATATATAAAGGGGTAAGTAAGGCATTCAAGAGAGCTTTGGTTAAAAATATGATTTGAGAATTACTGTACTTAGACTTCAAAAATTAAGTCTGGATATAGCAGTAATAATCACAAAAAAAATTCTTTATGAATTTTTTTAAATTTTTAACAATTTCAAAAAAATGAGCTGATTGTCATGTCTGGTATTTTTTTTTAAATTTAGTTCTTTTTATTGATGAGAAACTATATGTTTTTTAAACAGAGTATCTGCTATTCACAATACTAAACAAGTAGTTATTTATATTCTATTAGTGATCTGTTAATGCTCTACTGTCCATACTGCTTTTTCAAGTGCATAAATGAAAGAAAACTACGTGGTCACGTATATCACTTCCATCCGATGCAAAAATATAAATACCATGTTTGCTACCAGCAATTTTCGTGTTATAGCTCATTAACATCACATTCATCAAGAAAACATAAAATTAATCTTACTAATTTACCATTTACAAACATGCGTGTTCCGATCTCGCATGAAGATATCACTATTAATGCTGAAAATCAAATTATGGAAGTGGAAAGTTTAGTTTTACAACTGTCTTATGAAAAGCTCTTTTGTGACTTAAAGCTGAAATTTACTTCCAGGAAATTTGTTCCTGAAACTACTTTCAATGAATTTTTATCGGACTTATGCATGATAAAAGATTTCAATGAGATTATGGGTCCATCTATTGTAACATGCTCAGTTAAATCAAAGTATGAATCTTTGTTAAAGAATGAGTTTTCTTATGTAATTCCTGTAAAAGTTTTTCTATCGAGTTCAAAAAAACACTATATTTATGTACCAATTGAAGAAAATCTCAAGAAATATTTGTCTTCAGCTAATATGATTGATCAGTTAGAATTATCTGCAACAAAAAATGCCAATTCAATAAGAAATCTTCTAAAAATCCACGATGATTTTATACATAGAAAGTTACTTCAGCAGAATTATATTTTTGCTAACCATCCAGAAAGTATAGGAATCATATTATATTCAGATGATTTTGGATCTAATTTAAACCCTTTGCGGCAACACACTAAAAAAAAACACAAGACATTTTGTCTTTATTTTTCAATTATAAATTTGCAAAAACAGTATAGAAGTCAGTTAAAGCATCACAATCTTGTTCTGTTATCTTCAGCAACCCACATCACAGAATTTGGCCTTTCTGCTATTCTTAAAGTATTCATAAATGACTTGAATGATTTACAATCAAATGGTAAAGTAATCCAGGGTAAACATTATCCTGCATGTTTGTTAGCTTTCTTGGAGATAATTTAGGGTCTCATCTCATTGGTGGTTTTACACGTAGTTTTAACTCTTCTAGACCATGTCGTTACTGTATGATAACTAAACCCAGATTGAAAACATTATTTGCATCAAAAGATTGCATTTTACGAACTGTCAGTAATCATAATGCTATTGTACAAAAGGTTCAGGATGAAGTTCTTTGAGTACTGCTTATGGTGTTGTCTGCTTTTCACCACTTCATTATCTCAAGAATTTTCACTCTGTTCTATCTCTTCCTCCTGATATTATGCGTGATCTACTTAAAGGATGTTGCCCAAAGGAGATGAAGTTGATATTAAAATATGCGGTTGAAAGCAAGTTCATAACTTGGAAACAGATCAATACTTTGATTAATACATTTCAATTCATGGGTGCAGATAAGTCAAATAAACCTGGGCCTGTAGTGAAAAATGAAATTAAGGGCAAAGCAGTTCAAATATGGTGTTTTATGAAATTATTTGGTGTTCTCTTTGCTGATTACTTTCAAAAAAAATGATAAAAATGAGTCTGGAGTACATGGAAACTTTTGCGTCAGTTAGCGGATATTAGTTTTGCACCATCATTTGACATAGAGCACCTACCAAAGTTCAAGGAAATATGTGAAAGAGATTTGGTATCAGTGATGGCAAATTTTCCCAATAGTTCTGTATCACCAAAACAACATTACACAATGCATTACCCTCATCTCCTTGAGCAGCACGTAACCCTCAGTGCGGCTTCTTGTTTGCGTTTTGAAGCGGTCGATCAGGTGCACAAGAAGTTTGCATCAAACTCTAAGAACTTTAAAAATATCCAATACACAATGGCATGCAAATTTCAGAAAAGGGCTGCGTATGATAGAACAAGAAATGATTTTGTCGATGTAGAAATTATTCTTAAAGGAACTAAGGAAACTGATGTGTCTTCTCTTCCATGTCTTGTCAAGCAAGCCTTTAACACAAACTGGCCTGAGCTTAGTAAAGCAATTTCTGCCAAGTCTGTAAATTATATTTCTATTTTTTACCAGATCGGTGACTGCGTTCTTCTTAGGCCTCAGGAGTTTGCTTGCATTATCGCTATCTACAAGTGCAGTTCAACAATATTCTTACAGTGTCAACTATATTCTACAAATGAATATGATGAACACATTCAAGCTTTTCACATAATTAAATTGTCTAAATGAATTTTTGTAACAGTTGACGACTTACACAACCATCATCCGTTGCCAATATATTTGATTAATGAACGTGATATAGTTGTGCCAAAATATTTTTACTGTAATATTTAAATGAACTTGTTTTTATTAATTGTAATGATTCCCAGCAAACATATCAGCGTTGAATCAACGTTGAAAACCGGTCGCAAAAGGTGTTGCGGAAACGTTGACAAAGTAATCGATTTTGCAAAGATATGTCACGTTGTAGCGTAATGTTGAAAAAACGTTACTAAAAGACGTTACAAAAATGTCTCAACTAAACGTTGAAAAAGCGTTATTTAAAAAGCGTTGCAAAAGCGCCGCAACTTAACGTTGAAAAAACGTTACTTGAAAACCGTTACTTTAACGTTGTTAAAGCAGTCGATTTTGCAAGGATTTTTAATGTTGGTAGTAAAACGTCGATTTAACGTGACTCAAAGACGTCGAGTAAAGGTTGAAATATAACGTTAAATCAACGCTCAAATGCGCTGGAGAAAATATTGCAAAATATTATTAAACGTGATTAAACTTGGTTATAATGTATATTGAATTTGCAAATAAAACAAAATTGTATGTTGAACTCTGCACTTGCAATATTTCCAAAGTCGATTTTTAATACAAATAGTAATTTACAATGAAAAACATAAAAAATATACAATTTATTTATATAAAATTTACAATTTATGGATAAAAATATAAACATCTTTTTTAAAATTTATGTGTGTGAGTGAATTTACAGGATTTACGTGTGTGAGTAAAATTTATGCGTGAGAGTGGATTTACAGGATATCGTATCGATAAGCCAGGATATCATTGAGATACAGAATCTAAATCAAAAAATAAAACTTGTATCATTATCAATCTGAAAGCAAATGTTTAAAAAATGCTATTGAATTAGTATGAATATTATTATATTTAAAAAGTAAAAATAAATATATATATATATATATATATATATATAATATACATATATATATATATATATATATATACATATATATATATATATATATAAACAAATTAAATATATATATATATATATATATATATATATATATATATATATATATATATATATATATATACATATATATATGTATATATATATATATATATATATATATATATATATATATATATATATATATATATACATATATATATATATATATATATATATATATATATATATATATATATATACATATATATATATATATATATATATATATATATATATATATATATATATTCATATATATATATATATGTATATATATATATATATATATATATATATATATATATATATATATATATATATATATATATATATGTATATATATATATAT